CACCAATGACACAGATGGAAACGCCAGATCAAAAGTGATAAAATGACTCTGAAATAAAAAATTAAAGGCCCGTAGAATTATGGTTGAAAACCTTAAAAACAGATGATTTTCTTTTTGAAGCAATGCTAATTTTATTTTATTTTTTTGCTCTGATTTTTGCTGTTTTGCTTGGTTAAGATCAGATTGAGCAACAGCCTCCTTCACTCTCACTGACCTGACAGATCGCTCAACAGCAAATCCCTTAATCAATGTTCTACTTTGTGGATTTTTTCATTTAGCACACATTAGCATGTTATATAACCAGCTAAAGTCACTTTCCCTTGCTTATCCAACTCAGAATCAGTGGTTGGTTGAGGTGGTTTGATGCTTTATATTTATTTTGTAATTATCTTTTTTTCTTGCTTTGTAAAAGTCATCACTCTGCTGCCTTCAGACTTATTCATGTTTGAAATAATCAGCATATGATTGGGAAATCCTGGACTGACATATCGAGTTGATAACGCCAGCAGTACCCGAATGGTGACGTGAAAGAGAATTAACACAGGAAAAAACAAACAAACTTTGAAATGATAAATATGATAAAGTAGGACCTCAGCTGTGGAGCCCGAGAAGTACATGCTGAAATACAAAATTACATGAAACACATACTGTCAGTTCTTTATTTGAGTTAAGGCATGAATACAAAATTGAGAACTCTGTCACAGAGACTACTGCTGAAACAGACAAAGGTCTGTGCTACAAGCCTGATTGTTCATTTGTGCCTCTGCTGAAATGTGAATGTCAGGCTCTGGCTGCTAGGCTGGAGCAGACATGCATTATACGTTATGTTTTGTAGGAATTTTGTTTGCAAATGGAGAATCGTGGAAAGAGCTGAGACGTTTTGCCCTCACCACCCTCAAAAACTTTGGGATGGGCAAAAGGCTTTCTCAGGATAAAATCCTGGAGGAGTGTGGTTATCTGATTCAAGTGATTGAAGAGCATAAAGGTATGGCGATAATGTGTGTACATGTAAGTGATGACAATGTGTGCTGAAGCAGTTTTGAACCCTGAACTTCAACTTAAAGGATTTTTAAAAATAATTAGCACACCTCTAAATTTTGTGCATTTCTGTTAGTCCGTTTATGAATTTATTTATTTTAGATTTTTTCCCCCTTGTGTGTCAATTTACAGGAAATGCTTTTGATACAGCTCTTCCAGTAACTTACGCAACAGCCAACATTATCTCCTCTATTGTGTACGGAAGCAGATTTGACTACGGTGACCCTGTATTCAAGAATATGGTGAAGCGAGCCAATCAAACCATATGTGCCTCAGGTT